GGAGGAATATTAGGCTTCTGTACCATACTTCAGAGTAATCAGTTTATTTAGAGCAGCAATAATTATTTAGTGCTTGGATACAAGAGCCCCTCACAGTCCCAGATGCAGGATACAATATCTGTTTACCAGTAGAAGACTTGGGTGGTTTCTCTGAGCAGGGCTGTGACCCAAATGCAAGATGTGTGGGTAACTGATAAGCTGCTGACCGTAAAAGTCACCTGACAGCAGCAGCTTACCAAAAGCATGCAGTTCTTAGTTCCCAACACTCCACAGCTTAACAGTGTCTGCTTCCATGCTTGGTTTCTGGGCTGCCCAGAATCTGAAAGGTGACCCTCAGGCTGAAACATCAGCTGTCAAGCTACACACGTGGTGTCACTCATCCTGACAGCATTCTGCTTCAACTTTGACAACTGGATTGTTTTCTGGTTTTGCACGTAGCCTTAAACACACAACTGCTAGCAAGTTTATTGGACTTCATACAGCTTTTACTGAGCAGATGTAATGCTCTGCTTTAGAAAAGTATTGTTTCAAGCAATCATACCAGTTTAGTGCTGGTATATTAAGCAATGCTYGGTGCACTCTGTAATCCCCAAGTCAATAGGCTACTGTTGAATGAGTGTTCAGTAAGGCTGACACAAAGTTGAAGGACCAGGAGCTCCAACAGAATAGGTAWCAAATCAGTTAACCCATCTCTAAGGGAAACAACTGCACACAATGCTCTTTGASTGGAGTTTTGATGAATCTTATGCCTATAGTTGGAAGAGGTCACAGCCTCGGACCTTGCAAGTATTACAGATATAAAGGTCATGGGAGTGACCCTTGCAAAACCAAAACAYAGCACAAACAGTTCTTCATGTCACTCATTACTCAGCAAGCTGCTAAAGCTTCCTCCGCCATAGCCTCATCAATTGCACAGGGCTCCCCTGGCAGATCAGCTGGAAAGCTTCATTTCAACTCCAATAGTTTTGCCTCGGTTCAACATGCTTTTACAYTATTAAATGGCCCATAATATTGCAGTCAGTTTGAAGGGCAAGTGAAGCTGGTCTTTATGTCAAACATGACACCAGCACATGTGCAGTATTGCTCAACACACACTGCTTGATCACTTGATGCAAATATTTTAGAGTGGCTTGAGTGGCTTGTGATGTTAAACAAGCAGAGGAGATACAGACCACAAGCTCAAAATGTACTTTTGCCAGCTCCACTTTCTTGTGATGGGCAATGTGAAGGATTTCRCTGGTTTTGCCTAACATGCAACTAGCAGTRCTCACATACTGTTCATGAAACTGGCTTCCTCCTCTAGGAATGGATTCTGGAAGTCATAAGGTACTCAAATAAGGACGACAGCAGTACATCACAGGCAGAGATCACAAAGTAAGCTAGACAAGAGCAAATGCTGCTGTGTAAAGGAACTTTTTATAGCTTAAATCACTCTCTGCTGAAAGTACCTAAGTGCTACATACAGCTGTGTTCACAATTGCAGGCACTATCTAGCAGGTCATTCCAGCCATCATCTTCCCACCCAGGAATTGTTGACTCCTAAAGCTTCAGCATCTTTTCTAAGCTACTCAAGCAACACATTTTGACTGCAAGAAGGTTTTTCAAACATTAAATGCAGGTTCACTGGTGAATTACTCTGCAGGTACCATCCAATGTTAATATTCTCATTGCTTTTATAAATGATCCATACAGGGATAGAGGCAGAGTCTGTGCATTCCTGCCTCAATACACAAGCAGAGCAACATTATATTACCAAGTCTTAACTTTCCATCTGCCAGAGAATCTGGGACTGGAGAGAGTTTAAAGGTTATTAACCTTGGAGGTCACAGCCCTGTGAGACAGATCCAACTTCAGCCTGCYCTCTCAGAGCCTGTATTTCCACCTGGAGGAATCAAGGCAGTTACTTCAGAAAGCTCCTCAAATAGGCTCCACATTTGCTTCAGTGTGAAAACTTAAGGTCACATKCACTTAGACATACAAGCATGAGCATTGTTTCAATCAGAGTTACACCACRCTTCACTGGAAGCCACGGAAAATATTCCACTTGTGTTGCCCCACCGAAAAGGCACATGAGCAAAGYTACACTTCATGAGTTTTGTTGTAACATGACACAGAAGGCGCAGCAGGTTCACCAGCTGTCAGTCAGTGTTCCTGCCACATTCTCGTGACTAAGGACCTCTAGCAGAAGACCTCTCTTGTCAGCATTAGGCAGCACAATACAACTGTATTTAAAACAGATTGAATTTTGAAGGCACATTTCAGCTTGGAGGGAGAGGATTGTGTTTAACTGGAGGTAGCCCCCACAGCATCGAAGCAATATCACATCAGCAGATACTGTTCATTCCTTTCTCAGCAACAGATTCCCAGAGATCTGCAGGCTCCTGCAGGAGTTAACGCACAGTTACACAGGAGGGTTTATCTGTAGAACCACACACTTTCCTTTTGCTGAAGATGCCTCAATCATACATAATTGAACACAAGAACTGCTATCATTTACTTGCTCAGAGAGGCACGAGCCAACCCATGCAAGCTGGCCTCTGACATTACAAATAGCTATCMAAAATAGAAGTCGTTCCACTGATCCCACCCATGACATCATGGAAATTGTTATTTTGTCATGAAAACTCCCTTAAGTATCCAATTTAATCTCATTAATAGAGGAATGAAGCTCTTACTTCCAAGACAGCAGCTGCCACTACCTTTGACATACACAGGAACTCACAGATGTTTTTGGATGCATCAGAGACTACTGGATGCAGTTTTAGGAGTTCAAGGTAGTGTCAGCTTTTGAAACTTACAGTAAAAAGCACTTCTGTAAACATTTATAACCAAAGCGTCAAGTAAATAGCTTAATCTGTTTTCCRAAACTTTTTCCAGTATTTAGGGAGGGAAAAATTAGGCATGTTGAATATTTTATCAATCCAGTATAATCACTGAACAAAACAAGTAAGGAAGATCTTATCTTTTGCAATAATGGTGGGAGGGAAGAAGTCACACAAGCCATGGCAGTGCAATCACATCAGCAACCCCCTCTGCCAGATATTTACAAAAAAGCCTGACTTGTGGAGGGAAGCAGGATGTATTCACCAGTTTGCTCYTTTGAGCTCAAGCACCTGCTCAAGCCATATTTCATTAAATATTTTAGTAGCACTGTCTGATCACGGCAGTGGAACATGACGCAGCTCACACTGGAGCAGTTTTTGCAGAGCAGAAAGGATACATGCTGTTACAGTGCAATTCCTTCCCACGGATTCTTATAATGCTGCAGTTATTTCTCTGCTCTGTACCTAGTGCTGCCTCTCCTTGTAGATCCAATTCTTGTAACATCTCTTTTCCTGAAGGAGAAAACATCTCCTTTGTCTAACATTCAACATCCTTCACTATCTTTCTTATCCTGTCCCATTTTAAGTCCCTGAATTAGCCAGGCTCCAGCAGCATTGATTCACTCACCGCACCCAGTGCCAAGTCAGAGCCTTGGCTAAATCTTTTCCTCCCCTCCTTTTTCTCCTCTATACGTAAAGAATACTGGAAGCAAAGCACTCCAACAGAAAACTGCCCCATGAAGAGAGTATTTTTCAAGGTCAAGCACAGTTCCTGCACTTGCTAAAAGTGCTAAATAAAGTAATCTTAGAGTTGCAGATCACTGATAACGGTGATCTTAAAGAGAACTGCTGCATTCATGGGAGGTTTAAGAGTAAAGYTGGAAGTAATTTCTTCCCCCAGCACCCTCCCACCCTCATATCAGGCAAGGAGACACTCAATTGTTTTGTGATAAAGCATTGAGATCAGATTACAGATTAAGTGTGGAATTATTCAAATGGCAGACTACTGAAGTTTAATTGTCTGAAAAGCTACAGTAGTTTTCATCTTTGGTTCCTTTGTCCAGTCCTCTTCCAGCACAATCTCCACCCAACACAATCCCAAAAAGGCACTTAATGAATTCTGATGAAAAAGAAGTGCCTATCTTAGACACCCCAAACAACTTCCGACATCACCTTACTCATTCCTCCATTCATTCTTCATCCTTTCCCAATCTCTGTAGCCCAACATCTCCTTTGACCTGATTTCTCACCCCAGCATACAGCATTTGCAATTTCCACACCTCTGCAGCCTCTTATCTCCCTAACCCTCAAGATCCTCTTTATCTGCCCATCTTCATGACTTCACATACCTTCACCCAAAAGCTCAACCCTTTCTCACCTCTCCAGCCCCATGACTCCTTCATCCAAAAACCTTCTCAGCCCCTAACCCCACACCTTCCTCATCTTCACCCCAACTCTTTCTCACCTTCACTAGTCCCTTACTTCACCAGCCCCTCACCTCAAACCCTT